TCTAGATACCTCATATAAGTGGAACCATAAAATATTTGGCCTGTCTGTCTTCACTTAGCATGTGCACCCATGTGGAAGCCCATGTCAAAATGCATTTTATGACTGAGTGATATTCCATTGTACGCATGTGCCATGCTGTTCATTCATTTGTTGACGGTCATGAACTGTTTCTAATTTTCGTCTGTGGGGAATTAAGTGTTGGCGTACAAGTGTCTGCCTGAGTCCTTTCCTTTAGCTGACTTGGATGTACACCTAGGAGTGAGGTTGCTGGGTCATATGATAGTTCTATGTTTAACTCCATGGAACAGCCAAACCATTTTCCACAACGGCTGCACCATTTTAGTGTTCCCAAGAGTAATTCAAGAGGGTTCCAGTTTCTCCACATCCTTGCCAACATTTGTTACTTGTTATGTTTGGTTGTTACTCCCCCGTCCCAGGTGCTGGAGATCCACTCATGGATGGAACTACATTCCCCTCCTTCCAGCCTCTTAAAGTTTTGTTTTGTAGGTCATGGGGCTTGAACTCTAGGCCTGGGTGCTGTCCCTGAGCTCTTCAGCTCAAGGCTAGTGCTCTACCACTTGAGCCACAGTGCCGCTTCCTCTCAAAGTTTTTTGCTTAAATGGCCATACTGAGTATATCTAAAGTGCTATCTCATTTATTTTGGTCTGGAGGTTGGTTTTTAGTGTTGCATTTTGGTTTGGTTTTGTACTTTGGAGACAGAGCCATGCTTGGTTTTGGTCTGCATTTCTGTAAACACTGACCATCCTGAGCTTCCATGTGGGTGCAGATTGGAGCATTCATGTACATATTGGCCGCTGGCATTTTCTTTGGAGATACTTGTTTTTAAATCTCTAGCTCTTCAGCCTTCAGTCATAAGTATAAGGAGATGCATATCAGAAAAGCAGTTCAAGCAGAATATACTAAGTTGCAGAGAAAATGCTTTATGGGATGTCCTAAAAGCCTTCTTTTAAGTAGCTTGTCAGTTTGGAAAGTAAGATTCTATTATAGGACTGGATTCTACTTACTAGAGGCTGGATTTTATGGGATGCTGGTGTGTTTTTTTTTCTGTATTATCGGTTAACTCAGTGTCTCTGACCCAGAATACCAGAGGCAATTCTTGTGTCTGGATGAATTTTGTGGAATTAGGGATACAGTAGAAGAAAGAAAGATGAAGAATGGATGGGAAGGTAGTTTGGGGGAGGGCTTCTTACGTTTTCTGCTGCCACACGCAGGACATTTGTTTATTGTACCAGTACTAGGGCTTGAACTTAAGACTTGTGCTTGGCTTTTTCACTCCAAGCTGCCCTTTATGAGTTGAAACGTGGCTCCACTTCTGGCTTTTTGCTGGTTAGTTGGAGATAAGATAAGCCCTGGCTGGCTTCAAACTATAATCTTCAGAACTCGGCCTCCTGAGTAGCTAGGATGACAGGCACGAGCAACCATTGTCCAGCTAAAATTTCTGACAGAACAATTGCAGAAACAAGCCTGGGAGTGTGGCTTAATGGTAGAGTGCTTGACTAGCATGCATGAAACCCTGGGTTCGATTCCTTAGTACCACATACACAGAACAAACCAGAAGTGGTGCTGTGGCTCAAGTGGTAGAGTGCCAGCTTTGAGTAAAAGAAGCTCAGGGACAGTGTGTAGGCTCTTGAGTTCAAGCCCCAGGACTGGCAAAAATAGAAAAAAAAAAAAAAACAATTGCAGAAACAAGCAGATGTCAAGTTTACCCTAGTTTTATTTTTCCTAGAAAACCGGTTAGTTGTCTCAATTTCAGAGTTAATGCCTGCAGAAAGACCCATCTGTTTTTCTCTCTTTCCTAGTGTCTGACACGTGTGAAGTTGGCATGAGGTAGTGGAATTCTGTTAGGGTTTAGAAGACAGGTGCACCTACTATTGGGTATGCAGCTGCTGGGGGGTAAAATACTGCAGCCTTTAAAAGTGGTCAGAGCTCCACCTTGTGGTGTGTTTTTAGTTAAACTTAACTGAATTATTAGTCTTACAGATCAGTGTGCCACCCTTAAAGAATACCACCACACCGTTTCCACCTGAATTGGCTGTAGCCTCTTTCTTCCTACTGTGGCAGAGTTGAAAACTTGTGACAGAGACTCCCTGAGCTACATCCAGCCCAGGAAGCTTTTCAAAGAAATGTAATAATAGGCTGGGAATATGGCTCAGTAATAGAGTGTTTGCCTAGCATGCATGAAGCCCTGGGCTCAATTCCTCAGTTCCACATAAACAGAAAAAAGCTGGAAGTGGTGCTGTGGCTTAAGAAGTAGAGTGCTAGCCTTGAACACAGAGAGGCTCACGGACAGTGCCCAGGCCCTAGTTCAAGCCTCAGGACAGGCCAAAAAAAAAAAAAAAGTAACAATTACGACAGTTTAGGTAAGCAAATGTAATATATATTAAATATTCCTGTACCCTCCATAATACAAGAAATACGTATTCCTTACACAGTTTCATTTTTTTGTTTTATTTTGAGACAATTTCACTGTATAGCCCAGCATGCTCTCAAATATGAGATCATTCTGCCTCAGCTTCCTGAGAGCTGGGACTACAGGTATGCATCACATGAACTGTAGTAGTTTGTTACACCAGTGTCCATAAACTACATCATTTGTTTCTGTGAGAAATAAGTTTGCCAACCAGAGTACTAGTTTGTATATTGTTCTTTTCAGTCTTCCAGTATCTACTCAAAACTAAATATCCTTGGATATTTAAATCTGTTACATTTTCCCCCAACCTCTTCAGTGTGGTTTTGTCAAGACAGTCACCTTCATTTCCTCAGTCTTCATGCTCTTTCTACATCCTGGTAGGCTTAAGTTTTATTTCATTAAAATTCACTCCTTGGGGAAGTTTATGGATTTTAGCAAGTGGCATCGAGATGAGTACCCACCACCACAGGTCCATACAGAATAGTTAGATAACCCCAAAATTTCCTCATGCTCCCCTTATAGCTATTCCCCCCTCCATTTCCTCTAACAATGCCCCATTACTCATTCATTCACTAGGTGAAGGATGCTAGAATTGTTTCCAATTTTGACAATTATGAGTAAAGTTGCTATAAAGTCACTTTTTTGTGTGAACATCTTTTCATCTCGGGTAAATAACAATTTGCTCTGCTTCCAGCGTTTTTCTCTGTGTAGACCCAAATGCTATAATCTCATTCATATTTGTTGGTGGTGGTAGTGGTGGTCGTGGAGCTTGAACTCAGGGCCTGAGCACTGTCCCTGAGCTCTTCAGCTCAAGGCTAGCACTCTACCACTTGAGCCACAGCGACTTTTTCTGTGTATGTGGAGCTGAGGAATGGAACCCAGGACCTCATGCATGCGATGCAAGCACTCTACCACTGAACCACCTTCCCAGCTCTCATTCATATTTCTACTGTCTAATGAGCTTTAACATTTCTAACAGTAAGTCTGCTAGTAATTAATCTTCCTTTTTGTACAAGATTATCTTTATTTTTTGACAAAAATTTAGGTTATTAGGCTTTAAAATTATTATTGTTGTTCTTATTTTGGTTGTGGGGCTTGAACTTGGGGCCTGGGCTCTGTTTGGGAGCTTTTTGCTCAAGGCTAGTGCTCTGTCACTTTGAGCCTCAGCTTCACTTTCCGTTTTCTGGTAGTTAATTGGAGATAAGAATCTCAGACTTTTCCTTCCTGGACTGGCGTGGAGCTGATCCCTTAGATCTCAGCCTCTGAGTAGCTAGGATTATAAGGGTGAGTCATCAGTGCTCAGCTAAAAATTATTTTAATTATTTAAAATGGTCACCCAGAGCCGAGTACTGGTGGCTTATTCCTGTAAGCCTTCCAGTCAGGAAGCTAAGATAGGTTCACAACTTGAAGCCCAAAAGACTTCTCTTGGCAGAAAAGTCCAAGAGACCCTTATTTCCAAATAAGTAGTAAAATGATTGGACTGGAGATGTGGCTCAGGTGGTAGAATGCCAAAGGGGTTTAAGCCAGTGGGACACAATCCCTGAGTTCAAGCACTGGTATCAGCACAAATAGGATTTTAAGAAAATAAAAAGGTCACTGAGCACTTGGGAGGTTGAGGCAGAAGGATAGTGGGTTAAAGGCCCACCAGAGCTACATAGAGAAACTTAAAACACCATGAAAGTTACTTTGCCAGGTGCAGTGGCTCGCGCCTGTAATAATCCTAGCTACTCAGGAGGCAAAGATCTGAGGATCGCCGTTGAAAGCCAGCCCAGGCGGAAAGTCAGTCTTAACTCCAATAAACTACTCAGAAAAGCCAGAAGTGGCTCTGTAGCTGAAGCAGTAGAGCGCTAGCCTTGCGCAAAAGCCCAGAACCGGAAGAAAATAGAAAAGGAAAGAAGTTACTTCATTAAGTGACTTAGGTAACTGTAACCACTCTGTACATCGCCTTTCTTTCTCTGTTGTTGGTCATGGGGCTTGAACTCAGGACCTGGGCCCTGTCCCTAGAGCGCTGCCACTTGAGCCACAGCGCCACTTTCCGTTTTTGAGTGGTTAGTTGGATGGAGATCAGAGTCCCACGGAGACTCTTCTGCCCAGAGCTGGCTTCAAATCGCGATCCTCAGATCTCAGCCTCCTGAGCAGCCAGGATTACAGGCGTGAGATCTTAAGTGCACAGATGTATCTTTCCGGACAGTTTCCCAAGTTGACACACATCATCCTAGTGAATATAGTGTCAGATTTCGAACCCAACATAAGCTTCAACCCCTACCTGGAACGAATGTGAGGCATCAGGAAGAATGTTCCACGGGGACTAGTTAACAACTCAGTAGGAAAAAATGTGGGCAGAGGGGGACAGGACTATCCCACTTCCGTCCCAAATTGCTGAGTTGCCCGCGCGGAGCAGGAAGGGTGGAGTTGCGGGGAGCAACCGGGAGGGCGCGGTCGCTCCCAGATTTTCCCCGCTGGACCGCTGAGAGCGAGGCCCGAAGCGGGGCGGGGCGTGCTCTGGGGGCGTGGCTTCCAACGGCGCGTCGTCGGGGGCGTGGCCTGCGCTCCCAGCGGAACCGGCCGGCTTTCCCAGCGGGACGGCCAGGACGCGCGGCGGGGATGGCGAGCGACGGGGCCCGCGGCGGCGGCACCCCGCGGCCGCTGCACTCGGCGCAGGCGGTGGACGTGGCCACGGCCTCCAGTTTCCGGGCCTTCGAGATCCTGCACGTGCATCTGGATCTGCGGGCGGAGTTCGGGCCGCCGGGTCCGGGCCCGGGGAGCCGGGGGCTGGCGGGCCAGGCGGTCCTGGAGCTGCGCTGCCTGCTGCCCGCGGGCGCCGCGGAGCTGCAGCTCGATTCGCACCGGAGCCTCGAGGTGACGGCGGTGACGCTGCGACGCGGGCCGCCCGGGCCGGAGCGATCGCCCGCGGAGCCCGTATCCTTCCACACGCGGCCCTTCTCGCACTACGGCCAGGCGCTGTGCGTGGCCTTCCCGCAGCCCTGCCGCGCCTCCGAGCGCTTCGAGCTGGTGCTCACCTACCGCGTCGGGGAGGGACCCGGGGTGAGTGCTCCCGCGCCCGCCCCGGCCGCGGGCCTGCCTTCCCTTCCGCCTCCGCGCCGCCCGGGCCCGGCGCCTGCCCCACCCCCAGAGGGAAGGAAGAGCTCCGGGCCGCCCTCCCCGGGGCTCCCCCACCTGCTCCCCTGGACCCCGCACCGCCCTCTAACCCCCGGGCGCGGGTTTTTCCAGCCACCTGGGCTCTGCTCGGCCTCCCATTCTTCCTGCTTTGCCCGGCCGCACTCAGGGCCTGTCGATCACCCGAATTCCCGCTTTGCGCACACATGCTGTTCTGCACCGAATTGTTCCGAACCGTTCTGGGCTTTCGGCCCCGGCCCCCTGTTGATCCGCACGTTAGCGCTGGTGTAGGGGGCCCTGGACGGGGCTGGTGAATAGCTGGACGCTGACTCAGCCTCTGTTATCCGTTCACTCTAGTTCCAAAGGGCTCAAACAACCCTGCAACATGGCAGGGTTTGCTTCCTCCTGTGAAGTCCCGGATTTCATTAACAAAGGAATTGGAGTAAAAGTGAGAAGTGAAATGAGGGTGTTTTCTAGGCTTTATGACTTAGTCTTATCAGTGTTGGTTGGCATTCTTCTTTAATTTTTATTTTATTTGTGTTGGTATGGAGGCCTTCTCGCTCAAGGCTAGCTCTCTACCACTTGAGCCACAGCTCCGCTTCTGGCTTTTGGAAGATTCATTGAAGGCAAAAGTCTCAGAGACTTCCTGCCCACACTGGCTTGAACGGTGATCCTCAGATCTCAGCCTTTTGAGTGGCTAGAATTCCGGCTCAGATCTCAGCCTTTTGAGTGGCTAGGATTCAGGAGTGAGTCACCAGTGCCCAGCATGGGTTGACTCTTAATTCTAGTTTAATTACAGTTTTGGGAATTAAGAGGAAGGGACATCGGGTGCCTCCCTTGTGTTAAGGGTCAGCCCACCAAGCCGGGCGCTGGTGGCTCACGCCTGTAATCCTAGCTACTCAGGAGGCTGAGATCTGAGGATCTTGGTTCAAAGCCAGCCCAGGCAGGAGAGACGGTGAGACTCCTAGCTCCAATAAACCACCAGAAAGCCGGAAGTGGCGCTTTAGCTCAAGTGGTAGAGCGCTCGCCTTGAGCTGAAGAGCTGAGGGACAGCGCCCAGGCCCAGAGTTCAAGCCCCACGGCCGACCAAAAGAAAACAAAACAAAAGTCAGCCCACCAGCCGGTTGCTGGTGTGTCGTGCCTGTAATCCTAGCTCTTCAGGAGGTTGAGATCTGAGAATCAAGATTCAAAGCCAGGAAAGTAAATCCATGAGATTCTTATTTCCAGCTAACCACCAAAAAGCCAGAAGTGGAGCTGTGGCTCAAGTGGCAGAGCACCTGCCTCGAGCACAAAAGCTCAGGGACAGTGGTTTTGTGACACACATCCACAAAGAGTCAGTTTGTGTAGGACTTAGAGGCTGTGGCACCTAGTTATTTCTGATAGTGTGAGTTACATGTGTCACAGAGAATTGCTTGTCTACAACTGAAGCTTGCTTATCTGGCTGTCACCTCCCCTTTGTGCTTCCAAGTTGCCCCAAGAATAATTCTGCTTCCATCTTTTCTATTGGAGGGATCACAGAGTCTTGTGATGGAACTTGTTCAGAGAGCTAAAGTCCAAAGCATGTGATACCAATAGCCTCTCGGGAGCCCTTTGGAGCCCTTTGGGAAACATAATGCATCTGTAAATGAGTCTGTCCTGTGATACCTTATTTCTGTTTTTTTGGCAGGAACTAGACATTCAACTAAGTGATTGGAAAAATTAAACCTTCCGTAAATTTGCCTTTGAAGAGTGGCACCTCCAACTAGGCAACTGATGCCTCATTTCTGTAATACTGGCTGCTCAAGAGGCTGAGACCTTGAGGATCCTGGTTTGAAGCCAGGCCCATCGTGGCAGAGAAGTCGTTGAGACACCCATCTCCAGTTAGCCAGCAAAAATGCCAGGGTAGAGGTGTGGCTCAAGTGGTAGTGTACCAGCCACGAGTACATAAGCAGAGAATGTGAGAATCCTGAGTTTAAGCCCCAGTACTTACCAAAAAAAAATTAGCACCTCAAATTGAGTGGCAGAGTTAAGTAGGCAGAATTAAGTTGCTTTTGTTTAAGAGATAATAGTAGAGATCTTTGCTTTGCACTATGAAGTTCATCCTCTCTCTCTCTCTCTCTCTCTCATACAAACACACATACACACACACCTTCTCACCTTTTTCTCTCTTTTGAGATGGTCCTGGGGCTTGAACTCCATGCTGGCACTTAACTTTTTCACTCAAAAGCTGGCACTCTACTACTTGAACCATATTTCCACTTCTGGATTTGGGGGTGGTTAATTGGAGATAAGAGTCTCACAGACTTTCCTGCCTGGGCTGACTTCACACTGTGATCCTCAGATCTGAGCCTTGTGAGTAGCTTGAATTACAGGCATGAGCCACTGGTGCCTGGCTCTTTCTTCCTCCTCCTTCCACCCCCCCCCCTCTTCCTCTTCCTCCTCCTCTTCTTTCTCCTCCCCCTCTTTTTTTTTTTTTTTTTTTGCCAGTCCTGGGGCTTGAACTCTGGCCTTGGCACTGTCCCTGAGTTTCTTTTTGCTTAAGGCTAGCATTCTGCCACTTGAGCCACAGCACTACTTCCAGCTTTTTCTGTGTATGTGGTACTGAGGAGTCAAACCCAGGGCTTCGTGCATGCTAGGCAAGCACTCTACCACGAAGCCCCATTCCCAGCCCCGGCCAAATCATGTTTTAAATTAATGCACTTTTATTCTTCAAAAACAGAAGAACGGGCTGGAGGAGTAGCCTGTAGAGCACCTGCCTATCAGGCATAAGGCCCTAATTAAAACCTTAGTACCTGTAGGGAGAGTGGGGAGCAGCGGGCAAAAAAACAAGAAACAAAAGCCAGAGTCATAAAGAAGTTGCGTAGATAGTGCAGAGCTCCTTACCCTTCCAGACAGTTGTTCTGTTAGCATTTATTTACATTAGCACAAGACAGGTGTTAAAATTGGATATTACAGTATCCTTAGGTTTTTTTCTCTCTCTCTTTTACTGTCAGTCCTGGGGCCTGAGCTTAGGGCCTTATGCTCTCACTTGGCTTTTTCACTCAAAGCTGGTACTTTAACAACTGAACCATCCCTTTGTGCTGGTTAATTGGAGAGTCTCACAGACTTTCCTGCCTAGGTATACTTTGAACATTAATCTGCAGATCTCAGCCTTCTGAGTAGCTAGGATTCTAGGCATGAGCCCCCCAGTGCCCTGCTTAGGGTGGGCTGTTTATAGAAATTGGATGTTTCTCTTGTGATTAGTTGGGGTTCTGAGTGGGAACTTGCAAAGCTCAGGGGCTGCTTCCATTGCCTCAGATTGAGGTATGAGATGATCAGAAGATCTCTGATTGTGGTTGTTGACCTCAGTTACTTGGCTCTAATAGTGTTTATCACTTTTCCTGATGTGGCTCATTTATATACTGGACTGTGTTTGTTGGAAAGAGACTAAAATTCTCCCAGACAAAACCTTAAGCCAAGAAAAACCCGACATTCCAACATGGCTTCCTGTGCTTCTTTAAAATAGGCCTCTGTGTTCAGCCTGCCCAGGCCTGCCTCCCATTGCTCTGTAGCCCCAGCCTGCAGTGCATTTCTAGAGCAGCATCCATTGATGCTTTTACTCATGTTGGCTGCCCATTGGAAAATGGCTTCTCCCTTCTCTTAGGACCTTTGCTTACCTTTGAAAGCTCGGCTAGAAAGTTCTTCTTTACCTAAAAAACCTTCCTAGAATAATCTAATCTACTGAGGATTGAACTCAGGGCCTCATACTTATTAGACAGGTACTCCATCCCTTAAGCCACACCTCCAGCCCCTAATCTGTTTCTACATTCTAGATGTATTTGGTGCTGATATATCTTCCCCCAAATCATATGTATATTGGAAGGGACCTCCTTTTGCTGTGGGACAGAGTTAGGTTTGTTATAATCATTCAGGTGTACCTGACATTGATGTATACACCTGTAATCCCAGTACTTGAGAGCCTAAAGGGGGAGGACTATCTGAGCTCATAAATTCAAGGCTATCCTGGACAATATAATGAGACCTGTCTCTGCCATCTCAAACAAAAAGAGCTGTAATATGAAGTCCATTTTGTCTAGAAAGGCAAATTTGGGGAATGGAGAACACACACTTCTCACCGATGTCTAGATGGCTCTTTCTGTGTCTTCTCAGGAGTCCAGATATAATTATTACATTGTTTGCTTGATAAGAAACTGCTACAGTGAGAGGAACACAGGAAGAGGTCAAAATGACAGGGTCAGAGGCCAGGCTTGGGGTTCCTGAGATGGCCCAGAGGGTGAGTGTGGGGAAAAGGCCCTTTGTAGTGACTCTGTCCTGGGAAGGAAACATCATACATGGCACAGGTTCTAGGCTAGACTAAGTACATAAAAAGAGAAAACTGCCAGGCGCCAGTGGCTCCTGCCTGTAATTCTAACTACTCAGGAGGCTGAGATTTGAGGATCACAGTTCGAAGCCAGCCTGGGCAAGAAAGTCCCTATGTGTCTTAACCACTCAAAAAGTGGAAGTGGAGCTATGGCTCCAAGTGGTAGAGTGCTAGCCTTGAGCCAAAAAGCTCAGGGAAGCACCCAGGCCCTGAGTTCAAGCCCTATTACTGACAGAGAGAGAGAAAAAAATTTTCTGGTCCGAGCCAAACTGGCCAGCAGAAAGACTTTAAGGTTTTCCCATGCCAGACAGGCTGGACTGAGTTCATGTAGGATGTGCCAGTTCTGAAATGCTCTTCTGTTTTAGGTTTGCTGGTTGGCTCCTGAGCAGACAGCAGGAAAGAAGAAGCCCTTTGTCTACACCCAGGGCCAAGCTGTCCTAAACCGGGCCTTTTTCCCTTGTTTTGACACCCCTGCAGTGAAATGCACATACTCGGCTCTTATTGAGGTAAGGAAACTAAGGTTTGTGTACTGCCCTTGGTAGTAGCAATATAATTTCCAGCTCAATCCTGTAATTCTAGCTATTTGGGAGGTAGAGATCAGAGGATCACATTTCAAGGCCAGCCAGGGCTTAAAAATGTTGTCTAGCTGGGTGCTGGTGACTCACGACTATAATCCCAGCTACTCAGGAAGCTGTGATCTGAGGATCACAGTTTGAAACTAGACCAGGCAGGAAAGTCTGTGAGACTCGGAAAAATCAGAAGTTGCGCTGTGACTCAAGTGGTATAACACTTGCCTTGAGCTGAAGAGATGAAGGACAGCTCCCAGGCCTAGAGTTCGAGCTCCCCAACTAAAAAAAAAGGAAAGCAATAATTATAGTAACTATTATCACGCCAGATTTATTTGATCAAATTTCAATTAGTGAATTATTTATATCCATCCTGTGGTATTTCTGAAAGATTCATTTTTTGTGTGCCAGTTCTGGCTTTTTTAAAGAATGGTATCCTACCATGCCATTGCAGCTCCTGAAAGACTTTAAAATTTTTCATCTGCAGGCATTTTATGTAGCTTTCTAAATGCCATCAGTTTAGCTTAGTTAAAGTCTTCTGATGCGTTCTTGTTCTTTGAGGAGGACTGCAGGTAATAATTGTCATTGCCTGGGTTTTTGGTCATGTTCTTCAAGTCAGACTCTTCAGGTAAGGTCTCCACTTTCTGTGTTGCCAGGTCCCAGATGGCTTCACAGCTGTGATGAGTGCAAGCTCTTGGCAGAAGAGAGGTCCAAATAAGTTCTTTTTTGAGATGCACCAGCCCATCCCCTCCTATCTAATAGCTTTGGCCATTGGAGATCTGGTTTCAGCTGAGGTTGGACCCAGGTAAGAGGCAGACACTTCACAAGCAAGGATGGTTTGACCCTTAGAGGTGAGAAAGACTCCGACCAGGGCATCTGCTGGGTGGGTCTTGGAATCCTGTGGAGCCTATAAAATCGTTCTGCAGGGAGAAGGATACAGTGTAAGTGTAGCTGGTGCAGAGGCTTGATTTCTCTCTTCCTTCCCTCCTGCCCTTCTCCCCACTCCATCCTTCTTCTCTTGAGTTCTAAGCCTGCTGTCTGATATGAAATCACCATCCTGCTGGCATCACAGTAGCTGCTGACCTGGCTACCTGTGGAGTGGGGTTGGAGTTTAGGAGGCAGTTTTTAAAAACTGATCTTTGTTAGTGTCTTTAAATGCTAAATGCTCAGGTAGCAACTATATTGACTTTTCTGTTTTTTTGCCAAGTCTCTGTATTTTCCCCAATACTTAATTCTGGGAATAATACATTTTTGATCTCATTATTTTCCTCTGTCTGCTGCAGGTAAATGAACCTAAACTTGGGGAGACATGGTATATCTATGAAATGGTTTAGTGCAAATGAAAAGAGATTTTGTGCCTGTTGTTTATGAAGGTAATCCTAGCTACTCTGGAGGCTGAGATTTGAAGGCTGCAGTTCGAAGCCAACCTGGGCAGAAAAGTCCCTGTGATACTCTGTCTCCGATTAACCACTCAAAAACCAGAAGGGGAGCTGTGGCTCAATAGTAATAGAGTGCTAGTCTAGAGCAAAAAAGCTTAGGGACAGCACCCAGGCCCTGAGTTCAAGCCCTACAACCAACAAAGAGAAAGAGAGATTTTTGTATGAGACAAGAAATTTGACCAGAAGTCAGGAGTACACTTCTGTAAATCCCAGCACTTTGGAAACTGAGGTGGGAAAATTGTGACTTCCAGGAGAGCTTGGACTACAAAATGAGACCTTGTCTCAAAAAACAAAAACAAAAAAACCAAAAACCCAAGAAATTAGCCAGGCGCTGGTGACTCATGACTGTAATCCTAGCTACTCAGGAAGCTGAGATCCGAGGATCCAGTTCAAAGCCAGCCCAGGCAGGAAAGTCCATAAGACTATTATCTCCAATAAACCACCAGAAAACCAGAAATGGCGCTGTTGCTCAAGTGGTAGAGTGCTAGCCTTAAGCTAAAGAGCTTAGGGACAGTGGTGCCCAGGCAAGAAATTTGATTAGAACTTTTCAGTTTTGCTGGCTGACTTAGTGCCTGCCACGATAGCTTAATCCTGCTATGAAGGGATTGGAGGTAGACTGCTAGGTAGAGGCCTTTCTCCTGGCTCGGCTGCTGCTCCTTATCTAGCTCTGGCACTGCTCTCAGTTCCTGGAAGTGGCAGTGTCCTCTACCACCTCCAAAAGACTTAGTCTCACTCCCACTCCCCACCGTGCTCCGTAGCTCTGATAGGACCCCGATCTTTGTCCCTGGATATCAGGTGAAGTAGTGTGTGGGATTCCCTTGGGTTTGTTTCCAGCACTCATTCGAAAAGAATGCCATCTTGAAAGATAAGTGTTACCTTCTTCCTAATAGGCAGGCCATAGATAACCTGTCCTTAGAAGAATAGATAAGTAAAGGTATGCCATTTAAGAACATATTTACCTTTCCTAAGACTCTGTTAGTAAGAATGCGAACTATTGCCGAGCCCTGGTGGCTCATGCCTGTAATCCTAGCTATTTAGGAGGCTGAGATTTGAGGATCACAGTTCAAAGCCAGCCCGTGCAGGAATGTCCATGAGACTCTTATCTCCAATTAACCACCAGAAAACCAGAAGAGGCATTGTGGCTCAAGTGGTAGAGTACTCGCCTTGAGCTGAAGAGCTGAGGGACAGCGCCCAGGCCCACAGTTCAAGTCCCATGACTGACAAAAAGAAAAAAAGAGAATGCTAACTATTCATGAATGAACAACAGATTTGAACCATATTGGAAAATAATAATAATGATTTTGAATCCTCTATAAGAAAATGACCACACATGGCTGGCAGACTCAAGCAGTAGAGCAACTGGCAAGTATAAGGTCCCAAGTTCAAACCCTAGTATTATTTAAAAAAAAAAAAAAAGGCAACACAGAATGTGAAATCAATGACAATCTATTTAACTGGGGATGGTCACTTCCTCCTGTCAGATGTGCAGTGTCCTTGTCTCTTGGGTCACTTGTGTGGCTCCTGAGGGTTGTGTTAAGTGGGAGGGTCTTCTGGTAATGAGGTCACTTATCCTAGGCCCCATATAGGAGGAAGGTCCTGGGCAGAAAAGGGTTATGAAGGTAGTTCAGGAGGCCCTCTTATATGTGTGATATTACTATGTCCATTTGTAGGTAAGCAGACTGAGGCTCTGGGATAGAGACCTGTGCGAGGCCAGGGCATAGGACTTGGCACCAGGAGCTATGAATTCTAGTTAGTGCTTTCTCCCCCCCCTTCCTCTCCCTGTCAGTCATGGGGCTTGAACTCAGGTTCTAAGTGCTGTTCCTAAGCTCTTTGTGCTCAAGGCTAGTGCTCTACCACTTTGAACCACAACTTCCCTTCGGTTTTCTGGTGGTTATTTGGAGATAAGAGTCTCATGGACTTTGCTGCCCTGGCTGGCTTTGAACCATGATCCTCAGAGCTCAGACTCGTGAGTAGCTAGGATTACAGGCATGAGCCACCAGCACTGAGCTTAGCTCATCTTTAGAGTCAATAAATTGTTGTGGACTATGTACTTGGCCTCTCAGTCTTGGCTTTCTGCTTGTTGGATCTTCTTGAACTTTTGTTTTTGTTTTTCCATCTTTTTTTTTTTGTTGTTGGTCGTGGGGCTTGAACTCTGGGCCTGGGTGCTTGTCCCTCAGCTCTTCAGCTCAAGGCGAGCGCTCTACCACTTGAGCTACAGCACCACTTCCGGTTTTCTGGTGGTTTATTGGAGATAGGAGACTCACGGTCTCTACTGCCTGGGCTGGCTTTGAACCGCGATCCTCAGATCTCAGCCTCCTAAGTAGCTAGGATTACAGGCGTGAGCCACCAGCGCCCGGCTTCCATCTTTTTATTATGATGATTTCAAATATGAGTTGAACACTGGTGGCTAATATCTGTAATTCCAGCTACTCAGCAGGCTGAGATCTGAAGATCATGTTTGGAAGCCTGCCCAGGCAAAAGTGTTTGTAAGACTTACCTCCAATTCACCAGCAAAGAACTGGAAGTGGAGATGTGGCTCAAGTGGTAGAATGTCAGCTTTAAGAGAAAGAGCTAAGGGGCAACACCCAGGCCCTGAGTTCCAGCCCCAGTACTGGCACACAGACACACAAAAAATTCAGATATATACAAAATTGAAAAGATGATCCATTGAACATCTGTATACCTACCCATTTGATCATTTTAGTTCTACTTACGTGTTGGTTTGTTTTTGTTTGTTCTAGACCATTTAAAAGTAACGCGTCCACACTAAAGAATAGATGTTCTCCCTTTGTTGTGTAGAGGCAGCTCACTTTCCTATTGCTATTAAAAAGTTTTTTGTGGTCGTAGGGTTTAAACTCAGTCTTGTACTTTCTAGGCAGCTGCTATACTGCTTAGACCATGCCTTCAGCCCTTTTTGCTTCTGTTATCTTCCAAATAAAGTATCCCTTTTTTCCTGGACAGTCTTCTAACTACATTTCCTACGTAGCTAGAATGACAGGCACAGGCTCCCATGCCCAGCTTTTTATTGGTTGGGATGGAAGTCCCATGAACTCTTTTGCCTGAATTGGCCTCGAACCATCATCCTTCCAATCTCAGCCTCCTGAGTCACTGTGATTACAGGTAGGAGCCAGTGTTACATAACTGAATCTTTTCTGTTTCTTCTGTTTTTTTCTTAAAAAAAAATTTTTTTTTTGAATCTTTTCTGTTTCTTTTGTTTTTTTCTTAAAAAAAAAATTTTTTTTAATTGTGAGGGCTTGAACTCTGGGCCTGGGCGCTGTCCCTCAGCTCTTAAGCTTAAGGCTAGCACTCTACCACTTGAGCCACAGCACCACTTCCAGTTCTCTAGTGGTCAATTGGAGATCAGAATCTCATAGACTTTCCTGCCCAGGCTGGCTTTGAACCGAGATACTCACATCTCAGCCTCCTGAGTAGCTAGGATTACAGGTATGAGCCACTGGTGCCCAGCCTTTCCATTGTTGTTGTTGTTTTTAAACAGGGTCTCACCATATAGCCCAGACTGGCCTTGAATTCATGATTGTCATGCTTGTACCCACCTTCCAAATGCTGGGGTTATAGGCTGTGCCACTCTGCAGCTTGTTTGTTTTTGTTGTTGTTGTGCTAGGGAGGACCCTTGTGTATGCACAGGCAAACATAAATATTCTACCACTAAGTTCCATCCCCAGCCCCTTAGGGGTCTCTTCAATTCCAAAGATCCAGCTTATAAATTAGCACACTGACATCAGCCTTGTCACTGTGTGAAGCCCTTGGGTGCTGTTTTATTTACTTATTACCACTGGGTAACAGATGAAGAAGTGGAGGCTCAGAGAGGTTCTGTCACGTCACCTTATGGGGCCAGAGCCAGTAGCCAGGAGAGGCCTCTGGAGGCTGTCCAGGGTCTGGTCTGCTGAGCAGCCTCTTAGGTCTGTGTGATCTGATCTTCTGTCTTCTGCTTCTGTGGCTGGTCACTGTCACATTAATTTGACTCAAATATGGGAAATATGGGTCTGAGTCAATTGTCTCTAGGTGTGTTCCCCCACCCTCAATCCCCTGTGCTTTGCCCTTAGGAGCCGAGTATGGGCTGAGCCCTGTCTGATTGAGGCTGCCAAGAAGGAGTACCAGGGCGTGGTTGAAGAGTTTCTGGCCACCGGAGAGAAGCTTTTTGGACCCTATGTGTGGGGAAGGTGTGGTATCAGTGCTGACCAGTATGTCTTGAATTTGAGTCCCTGCTTTCCACTCTCGCTTCTGGAACTGCTTCTTCTCTTCCTTCTGTCTCCTAGAGCAAGTTTTCCCTGATTCCAGAAGCAAAGGAGAGGAGGAAGAGAAGAGGAAGGGATGAGCCAGGCTCCTCGTGGCTGCGGAGGAAGGGACCTGGGAGGGAGGGCCCAAGGTGAAAGCGATGTGTTTCAGGTGGAGACCCACGGCCCAGCCTGTGTGGGAAGTTACTCATGCTCCATCTTGTCCTTTGACCTCTTCAAACCTTAGGCTCCTTAGACATAAGGCTGGTGGTTATGTCCCCTGTCGGCCTCCAGTGCCAAGTGTAAACAGACACCACTGGAGAGAGGGAGGCTTTGAGGCAGGGAAGAGCCCTGGGCAGGAATAAGGGGCCCAGGTTCAATCTTCCTGTGCAGCAGCTTCAGCTCTGAAGGGGCATGAAGAGGGAAGGAAAAGCCATACCAGCAAAGTCAGGTCTGCTCTAGGGGCCCAGGGCTGCCTGTGACCTCCTGATTTCTTGGCAGGTACGACGTGCTCTTCATGCCACCCTCCTTCCCGTTTGGAGGAATGGAGAACCCTTGCCTGACCTTTGTCACCCCTTGCCTGCTGGCAGGCGATGGCTCGTTGGCTGACGTCATCATCCATGAGATCTCCCACAGTTGGTTTGGGAACCTGGTCACCAACGCCAACTGGGGGGAGTTCTGGCTCAATGAAGGCTTCACCATGTACGCCCAGAGGAGAATCTCCACCATCCTGTTTGGTAAGGTGCCGTCCTCCCAAACACAGAGGCCAGTGCTCCCTCTTAGGGCTTCGGAACACCAGGGGGAGAGGAGGGAGGGGGCAGTTACGCAGTTATGCCAGAAGCCCTGCTGAGACGTGATGGGGGACTAAATCTAGATGCACATGGTTTGTTTTGGTGGTACTAGGCCTCACATTTTCCCTACCACTTACACTGCGACTTTATCCCTTTTCCACTTTATTTTTCATACAGGGTCTCACATTTTTGCCTCATGCCATGACCCTCTTACTATCAACAATTCCCTTAACAGGAAGAGGAGGATGGGGAGGAGTAATTACTTTGTACCGCCTCCAGGGTTTGAACTCAAGGCCTTGAGCTCTCAGCTTTTTTGCTTTTGCTAGTTGCTTTAAGATTGAGTCTTGGGAATTTTTCTGCCTGAGCTGGCTTCGAACCACAATCTTCAGATCTGTTTCCTTAAGTAACTAGAATTACAAGTATGGGCCACAAGCACCTGGCTTCAATTATTTTTATGTATTTATTTTTGTTTTGGGTGGGTGTTTTTGTTTTGTTTTGTTTTGCCAGTCCTGGGGCATGAACTCAGGGCCCGGGCACTGTCCCTGAGCTTCTTTTGCTCAAGGCTAGCTCTCTACCACTTGAGCCACAGCACCGCTTCCGGCTTTTTCTGTTTATGTGGTACTGAGGAATTGAACCCAGGGCTTCATGCATTGCCGGGCAAGCACTCTACCACTAAGCTACCTTCTCATCCCCATTGTAAGTTTTTATAGGAGACCAAATTAACAAGCATAGGTAACTAACTGCCTGGGAAGGGAGACCTCCGGAAAGACAGACCCACAGCCTCCACCACACTCTTGTGGCCCAGAGCTACTGGAGCTAGGGCCTGAGTCATTGTTCCTGACCCTGTTGGCCCTGCCCTCCCCAGGAGGAGAATAGGATTGAGCGTAGACCACAAGGGGGCAGCATAGTGTCTTCTGCCAGGAAAATCCACTTGGCTGTGGATTGGTGACAATCTTGGGGTCTGGGGTTTGTGTTTGGCACAGGGGCTGCCTACACATGCCTAGAGGCTGCAACCGGGCGGGCTCTGCTTCGACAGCACATGGACATCTCGGGAGAGGAAAACCCACTCAACAAGCTGCGGGTGAAGATTGAACCAGGTCCTGGCGGCTCCTCTTCCTTTCCCCTAAACTGAGCTTGGCGCCCCAAGACAGTCCCAGCCTCATTGCGCACTTCCTTGGGGAAGGAGGCCAGCGCTCTCTCTGACCATTCCCTGGCTTCTAGGCTGACCTGGTCCTGTGAGCCTCATGCGTCAGCGGGACCTGGTCCTGGGCCTGTCATTCATAGCCATGGCGCTTTCCCAGAGCTTGCCCTGCGGACGCTGCGGTCTTAACCCTGTGTTAGAGGACCGTGGAGAGCCAGACCAGTTCAGTGGCTTGCCCAAGGTCATGGACCTAATCACTTCTAGTTCAGAGCTTTTTGTTTTTCAACCTTCTTCTAGTTGCATGTGTGACTAATCTAAAACCTTTTTATGCAATCGAAGTTCATGTTCCTTAGTGCCACTGACTGTGAAAATGAACTGCTTGTGCACTGGTAATTAGTTGGAGTCTAGAACAGTTGTCCAAACACCTTCTGGGTGGGGAGGTTGGTGAGCCATGGAGCTGAGAACGATGGAGCTGAGCGTTCGGTTCTAAGAGGGGCTGGAACCTCCCTAAGCAAAGCATGTCCCAAGAATAAGGAAACGTGGCAATTCCTCTAGAGGGCTAGCCTCTGGCCTCTTCTTAGTTCCTAGTCACCCGGCCTCTAGGATCTTCATGCAGGGCTTCAGGAGAGGTCCTGAGACTGGCAAACCTTCTTGGTCTTGTTGTCTCTGAAGTGCAGTTTCTTCCAGTGTTGGAATCTGGGGCTGAGAGCAGCGATGGTGCCAGGTTACAAATGCTCAGCCCCGTCTGCTTTCTCCTCTGCCAGGCGTTGACCCTGATGACACATACAACGAGACCCCCTACGAGAAAGGCTTCTGCTTTGTCTCCTACCTGGCCCACTTGGTGGGCGATCAAGATCAGTTTGACAAGTTTCTCAAGGTATAGTCAACTCCCAGTGAGGGGAGAAGGCTGTGAGGATACCGAGCAGCTGGCAAAGTGCCAGTGTAGAGGCAGGGGGCACACAAGAGGTAAGGGGTTCAGAGAGAGCCTAGGAGTTGGAGGGGTCCACTCCTCAGGGTCCCCAGAGAATCTGAAAATCACCTCCCTTCTCATAGGCCTATGTGGATGAGTTTAAATTCAAAAGTATCGTAGCTGAAGACTTTCTGGAATTCTACTTGGAATATTTCCCTGAACTGAAGAAAAGGAAAGTGGATTCCATTGCAGGTAAACAGAAAAACGGGCCCGTGGGAATTGTACCTCTTTAGCTTCTGGAAGGTCCAAGGTGGGGTGGGAAATCACTTGAGTCAAAGTCATCGCTGAGTGTCACCTGGGGGGCTCAGGAGCCGGGGCTGTCTCCCACAGAAGTGACTTCTCTCGGGACAGGGGCTGTGTGGCTCAGTGGTAGAGCATGGGCCTAGCTCCAAAGAAAGACTTATCCTCACCATTTTCTCCCCGTGTTGGCTGGGCACCCAGACATACATAATCAGACCCTTGGGTCTGCCCAGGGCGTCACTGCCTCTGCCCACACTAATCCTCAGGGCGGGCACAGAGGCTCCGGCCCCGCCTCACAGCCCCAGGAACAGCCTCCTTCTATGGTCTTTTGGGCAGAGGAAAATCCCCGCGGCTTCTTTCACGTGAGTGAAAGAAGGTACGCTTCTTCCGGAGGAGAGAATGTTCTGGCACAGGTGAGGTAGGCCCTCCGACACACCTGGCAGCAGGCTGTGAGCTCTGAGTCACTGGTAGCTTTGGAAAAGCCGCTTCCTGTGGCGGCTAGGATTGGTCAGGCCTCAGTGGCACCTACTCCTCGGTGAGAGGCCTGTATTTCAAGGTCAAGAGACTGAGACCGTAGCCCACAGTAGTTAATAATTACAGAGTGCGTACTGCCCAGCAGGCTGTGTGCTCTGCTTTTAATGTCTATTTGCTCATTTAATCTGCATAACTGTCAACTAAGGTAGGGCCTATCCCCATTTCACAGATAAAACTGAGGCATCTAGAGGGGAACAACATGCCCTTGGCCTCCCAGCTAGTTCATGGCCAAGCTGGGATGGGAATCCAGGCCGCCCTGTCTTGAGTGCAGTTCTGGCAACTGAGAGGAGAACATGAACTTGAATATAGACAGGAAAGAACTTCTATCAACCTGGCTCAGATAACAGTGTTAAGTTCAGAGCCAAACCATTTCACTGTAGAAGCCGGAGGCAGTTCAGTCTTACTATGACATGGTCATAGTAATAGCTATCAGCGTAACTGGGGCCTTGCTGGGTCAAGTGGTTGTGTGAGATAGTGACATTAATTTCCTCAGGAAGAACATGGTGGCCGGGGGAGCTGGAGGTCTCCGGGAGTTGTTTGGGCAAGGTGATATGGTGAGAAAGTTCTTCCGGTGTCTTCTCTCCTACTATTCAACAGGGTTTGAGTTTGATCGATGGCTGAATACCCCGGGCTGGCCCCCCTATCTCCCCGATCTCTCCCCTGGGGACTCGCTCATGAAGCCGGCTGAAGAGCTGGCCAAGCTATGGGTGTCTGCAGAGCTGGACATGCAGGCCATTGGTGCAGTGGACATCTCTTCCTGGAAGACCTACCAGCTCATCTACTTCCTAGACAAGATCCTCCAGAAATCCCCCCTCCCTCCTGGTAAGAAAAACGTGGCTCATTCCACGTGCTCAGTCTGGTGTGGAGCGCTTTCTATTTGGGGCCGGCCACAGGAAGGCAGGCACAGTGCAGTCTTGCCCCGGGTGATGCCAGGCTCCATAGAGCTCTTTACAGGAAATGTATCTGAAGGAGGTAGGTCCCACCTGGAAGAAGAGGGCATGGATTCATCAGTTCCCCAGGTTCTCCTGTAGACCACTGTGGTAAGTTCTGAGCATCTCTGCAGTCACTTACTCCTCCTAACTACTCTGTGAAATAGGTGCTGGGACTTTAAGCCCCAGGAAACAGAAAACAAGCTTGAGGTACCCATGGGTCACACAACTGGTTGGGTTGGGGCTTGAACCCAGTCATCCGAAACTCTTAACCATGAAATGCTTTGTGGCTGCTCAGTCGGAAATAATATTCACCAAGGATGGAAAAGAAGTGAAAGCCCAGGTAGTCTTAGCCAGTTTATGGCTAGAGAAAAGGTGGGGAAGGATATTTGGTGGAAGTACAGGTATTGATCCAAGAAGGAAAATAACAAGGATTGGAAAAGAGCAGAAAGTCTATAATACTACTGAGTACTTACAGTAGCCTGGCTCATGCCTGTATTCCTAGCTACTTGGGAGTCTGAGATCTGAGGATTATGGTTCAGAACCAGCTTGGACAGGAAAGTCTGTAAGACTTACCTCCAATAAATCACCAAAAAGCTGGAAGTGGAGTGTGACCCTTGAGCAAAAGAGCTCAGGGACAGCACCTTTGAGTTCAAGTCCCGGTGTTGACACACACACACACACTCTCTCTCTCTCTCTCTCTCTCTCTCTCTCTCTCTCTCTCTCTCTCTCTCTCTCTGCATACAGTGACCAGAGAGGAGGTGAAATGCTCGGGTGGTCAGCAGCCTCCTCAAAGTTTCTTTCCAGACCTTCACCAGCCCAAGAATCGGGCTTCTCCAGGCTCCTCCTGCAAGTTACTACCAGCGCATTTTTTCTCTTTCCCAGGAAATGTGCAAAAACTTGGCGAGACGTACCCAAAGATTTCAAATGCCCACAATGCCGAGTTACGGCTCCGATGGGGCCAGATTGTCCTTAAGAATGACTACCAGGAGGATTTCTGGAAAGTCAAAGCGTTTCTGCAGAGCCAGGTAGGTGACCTCATCTCACTACTGTCCTTCTCCTCCCAGTGCCCCCGCCCCCCTCCAGCCACAGGCACGCTGGTAACCACCCTATCATAGGAGTCATCCTGTGGGCAGAGCCTGCAAAGAAAGGAGCTTGATGAACTGTAGAGGCCCTGCTGATCAACACTGCCCCCCCCCCCCCATGAGCTATTATTAATGTGGCTCCTAGAGGCTTTTTCCTGGGGAATGAGGGAGCCATAGAGCAGCTGGTGAGGCCTGAGGGAGAAGAGGTGTCCAGAGCTAACCCAAACTGAAGGGAGGGGAATGGGATGAAATGGGAGAAAGCTCATGGGGGAAAAAACGCAGAGGCCGAAAGACTAGCAAGATGGGTGAGGGCCAAGACCCCATAGTTCTCTCCTCCCTGGGAAGCCCCAGGACTCGGGTGCAGTTCAAACACAAGCCCATCCGATCCTGTCAGAGCTGCCGTGCTGGGGAAGGGCAGGGCACAGGGGCTGGGGGTGAGCCAGGCATCGGCAGATCCACAGCAGCGGGGCAGGGTTGAGCCGCCCTCACTGGGAAGCGGGAGGGCACCTCAAGGCGCTTGGAGTGTGGAGGCCTCTGGCGCCTCTCCAAGCATGCAGTGGAAGCATTTACAGTTGCAGTTTATTGTGCTTGATGGCGCTTAGACCTTCAAACCTGGGTTTTATGTCCGTCATTACCTTGGTGGCTGATGGCCTCCAGCTTTCTCATTTTTGCCATTCTCAAGTTCGCCGTTCCCTTGTGTCAACCCACCTCGTTGGTTTTGGGGCCTCAGGAAGGAACAGCGGCATGGCCTTCCGCTGACCGGGGCACTGACAGGCTGCTCCTGATGATGGCGTCCTTGTGTCTTGCAGGGAAAGCAGAAGTACACTCTCCCGCTGTACCATGCGATGATGGCTGGCAGCGAGGTGGCCCGGACCCTGGCCAAGGACACCTTCGCATCCACTGCCTCCCAGCTCCACAGCAACGTGGTCAACTATGTGCAGCAGATCCTGGAGCCCAAGGGCAGTTAGAGGTCATGCGCATGCTCTGCTTTTTCAGACTGGCTTTCAGAATGACAGTGTGCGCCCAAATTCCAGTTCCTCTGTCATCAAACTGCAGTGTCTGTCTTCTGGGGTTTGGCCGTTCTTGGGGCTTGGGTGTGTGACTCTGGGGCCTCTGCTGTGGTGAGAACTTCCTCCCCCAGGTCTGAGACCACAGCCCCCTCCCTGCAGGCTTCCATCCTTGCTGGAGGCGATCGATCTTCTGCCGACTTCCCACTTACGCCTGGGAGTTGCAGAGAGGCAGTTTTCTTTCTCTTCCTCTCTTTTTAGATTTTAAATAAATGTTCTTAAGCAAAATGTAGATAATTGAGTGACTGTTAAGTTTCTTCTTCCTGGGTCTTCCTTGGGGAGATGGCTGCGGAGCCCAGGCAATGATTTGTTTCTCTGACTTTAGGGACCTGGTGGGCTCAAAGACTGCACATGTCTCTGAAACAAGGAATATGGCCCTACAACGGGGCCTTTTCTGGGAAGATATAGGGTGATTAGGGGGCTTGCAGCTCTTGGCGAAACAGCAGTGCTCCCAGTGAGCAGCATCAACCCGTTCTTCTCTTCCATCACACACGTGTACACGAAAGGGTGTTTTCCTAGTGAGGTGCCAGTGGCACATGCCTGTAATCCTAACTACTTAGGAGGTTGAGATCTAAAGATCCTTCAAAGCCAGCCTGGGTAGGAAAATCTGTGAGAAGTATCTCCAACTAACCACAAAAAAAAAAAAGCCAGAAGTGCAACTGTGGCTTAAGTGGTAGAGCACCAGCCTTGAGCAAAAAAGCCTAAGGGGCGGATGGTGCCTTGACCCTGAGTTCAAGCCCCAGAACCAGTGCGTGTGTGTGTGCGTGTGCACGCGCGCGCACACACACACACACACAATCAATGGGTCCTTTCCCGTTTTCTCCCTTCTCTCACTTTGCTGGGCCACACCTGGCTTAGCACTGGCTTAGTGGTGATCAGTAGTCTCTTCGGAACTTGGCACTAATCCTTATTTCCTGGCTTCAGCATGCTGAACTCTGCAGTTAACACCTTGGGCTTGTGAGTGGGCTGGGGGTTGGGAGAGGATTGGAATGTTAAAAATAAATTTATGTCTAAGTATAGTGGCACACACCTGTAATCCCAGCTGCTGAGGAGACAGAGGTTCAAGGCTGCCTTGACAAAAGCTTGAGAGCTTATCCAAACAACAAAGAGCAAAAGGTTTGGGAGAGTGGCTCAGCTGGGAAAGGGCTCACCCAGCAAGCCAATGGGAGGCCCTGAGTTCCAACCCTAGTACTTACTGCCTGGACAAATAATGCTTTAACTTGCCTGCCCTTCCTACCTCGGTATCTGGCTACTAGTCAAGACCAGTAACTTTGCTTATTCTGCACAAACCCTTTTGCACTGACGGGCTAACAGTGCTTAGCTTTTCCCCCTAGCTCCTTTGACTTCCCTGGGTTTGGGGAGTCCACGTTTCCCCGTTTCGTGGCAGGGCATCCCAGGTTGTTCAGCCTGCCGGTCTCTTTCACCATTTTTGCTTTGCCTGATTTCTGCATGGGCCTGTCCTACCACAGGACTAGGATGCGGGGCTGGGGTTGGAGGGGGAGTTCCTGTTCCTCTTCCATCCCGAAGATGAGTCTAGGCCACCATCTGGGTCTCTCTGGGGGAAGACAATGTCTATTCCTGCCATCGCGATGTCTGGAGCAGGATTTTAGGTTTCTGGCCTCTTGCTCCACAGCACCTTCTCCCCACCCCTCCAAGGCTTTGACCTCAAATCCAGGTCTTTCCTGCTCTTCTTCCTTACTTGAAGGCATTCCCTGGAGGGAAGGGCCAGCCTAGAGGATGTCCTTAGCCCCACCTCTGCCTAGCTGAAGCTCCGTGAATGCTGAGTAGCTGATGGCTTCATTCTCTACGCTCCCTTCAGCTCGGCAGAGCCCCAGCCAGGTGCTCCGCAGGGCAGGAGCACGTGAGCAGCTCTGGGGCTAGAAGCCGGTTCTCCCACATTCCAGGGTGAATGACTACCTAGAGGGTGTGCCTGCCCCAGGCTCCTTGGGCTGGGGAAAATCCTACCCAGAGCCCCCCAGGCTGCCCTGCAGCCTCGGGCCCTGGGAGGGGACCCTGATAAGATTCACCCTCTTCCTGAGGTACCAGCGGTTTTAGAGACAAGGGAGATGGGACATTCCCTCTGAGGGGACCTTGGTAGTCCTTAGGCTACTGAGTCAAGAGGGGTACCTGGAGGTGGGGGTCACCTATTGTTAACCCTAGAATCACCTGGGGATTGTGTCCATATGAATGGGATGAGAGGGGGTAGAAGGACAAAAGCTGGGAGCTTGGGCCTGGGGTGGGTCTTCATCGCTGCATAAACAAACACCAAACCAACTGGACCTAGAAGAGACCTCAGGGATTATTAGATCACGGCAACCTTGTGGGGTAGTTAGTTTGGTTGGTTTTGAGGCAGAGGTTTGGGATTTTGAGGCAGGCTCCGTGTGGCTGAACGGCCCGGAGTAACCTCAGATGTGCAATCCTCCTGCCTCAGCCTCCAGTTTCTGGGATTATAGGAATGAACCATGCTCAGCACTTCTTGGCTACAGGATCATGTGACTTGCCTGAGATCATGTGTGTGGTCAGTAAAATGCTAATCTCCCACCTCCTCCTCAACACCCTATTTCTCCAGGATATCCGTGAGAACCCATCCCTATGATGAACCTATAGAGATCCTATAGAGAACCAGAAGAGACCAGGGTTCTGGGCCTTGTGGAATGGGAGGGAAGGCAACCAGAGATCCAGGTACAGATGAAGAGCCTTCCTTAACTTTACCACTTACCAATCCACAAAGCACAACTCTACACTACTCACTAGCTTTCCATTTTTCTCCCTTTTTTTTTTCTATATGAGGTAAACTAGTACGTTATACATTCTTTGATGACTGGTCACTAGAGGGCAGCAGTGAGACACTGGCGAACTGGCCGAGAGAACTGGAAATGAGGTGGGGAAACCCAAGGGAAGAGTGAGTGAATGTCTCCGCAGATTCCCACACCCCCAGCAGCCCCTAGACAGGGAGGGCTCCTCTGTCGGCATGGGAGGAAAAGCATTCACGTAGGGTCACCTCTTTTCCTGAGTGGCGGCAGCAACCTTGAGGCTTGGATGGGGTCCAGGTGGCCAAAGTGGTAAGATCTTGCCAGTAAAGTGGATAGAAAGCAAATGAGCTCTGTGACTGGGGAGTTGGATCCAGGGTTAGGCTGATGGATGCAGCCCTATGTCCAGCAAGCCAAAAACACTGCCTGAGGAGGAGGCTTGTATCTTTCAGCCTACCCTCCAACTCCTGGGTGGTGGTGGAGAAAATTGCTAGCCCTCAGTATACTCTCTTCCTGGGTAACTTCGGTCCTCAGATCTATAGGCAGTTAAGGATAGCAGCCTTTCTGACCCAGTTCAGCCACTTGCCCTTTCTCCTCCCTAGCCCATCCCTGGCCTGGCCTCCGGAAAGAATTTTCTGAGCCAGAGGGTGGCTGAAAGCAAGGGTGCCCACCCCAGCAACGTTCCCGCCACCTGCCCAGTCCAGCGCCCTGAGCCCAACCCCAGAGTCTGACAATCATTAAACCAGCAGGGCCTGATTTCTCAGCACCGCCTTGCTAGGATCTGGGCCAAGTGGCACACAATATGCAAATCACCTGGGGCCTGGAGCCCAGTCTGAAGGCCAGGAAATCCCCTCCATCCAATGAGCCACCAGCTCAGGTTACCACCGAGACTCACCCTCAAGGTCTGGGCTCTGGGAGGAGCTCCGCCCGGCTCTATTTAGGACGGGTGGGGGGAGCTCGGTGGCCAGACTCCTCACAGCTACCTGGCGGTGCACTCCGCCTCCTGGATTTCTTTCCCACCTGGGGCCTTGGAAGCCTAGCAGCCTACCTGCGGCGTCCGTACCAGACTCGGTAGGACTCCTTCCTGTCACGTTTACTGGTCTTGGGAAACTGGCCAGGGCTCTGTTGGATTCACAGTTCTGGACCTTCCCACTCCTAGAGGGACTGCAGGACCGTGGAGGTGTCCTGAGGGTCGAGGAGCAGCACGGGACAGGGTGGCCACTGAGGATCCCGTGATCTGAGGAGGGAGGCCAGAAGGAGAATCTAGTGGCCTCCCCTCTCCCGGACTTCCAGGGCTCTCCCTCCCCCCGTTTTTTCCCTTTGTTTGACCATGTTGCCTCGTTGGCCTCACTGGGCTCAAGCGATCCGTCCCTCTCAGCCGCCCAAGTAACTGGGACTTCGGGTGTTACCTCTGCATCGGGCTCTTGGGGACCTCTCATAAAAAGAGGGTGCCTGCAGGGACGTCAACTTCCTGACCCTTGGGGGCTATTCTTACCCTGGACAGAGCCGTGGGGAGAATCCGGGTGCCTTCACCCAATGGTGTCCCCTCTCCCCAGGGAGCCTCATGGCTGCAACCTGTGAGATTAGCAACGTTTTCAGCAACTACTTCAGTGCCATGTATAGCTCTGAGGACCCCACGCTGGCTTCTGTTCCCTCTGCCGCCACCACCTTTGGAGCCGACGACTTGGTGGTGACCCTGAGCAACCCCCCGATGTCCCTGGAAGGTATGGGAGGGTGAAGAGGGATAAAACGGGATAAATGGGGGGATTGGTACAAAGGAGAGTCTCAGAGAATTCCTGGGCTCGGGGCAGAGGAGACTTTGTTCATTCTCAGCAGCCAGGGTGTTGGGAATATCGTCTCTAGACTCTGCTGCTGGGTTGGGGGTCTCTAAGGTGTGAGGGGGGCTCTGGAGATGGGATCTGCGCTGATCTCCCCTGTACTCTCCTCAGAGAAGGCCAGCTGGTCCGGGGAACAGCCGCAATTCTGGTCGAAGGCCCAGGTTCTGGACTGGATCAGCTACCAAGTGGAAAAGAACAAGTACGATGCCAGTTCCATCGACTTCTCGCGCTGCGACATGGACGGGGCCACGCTCTGCAACTGCGCACTCGAGGAGCTGCGGCTGGTCTTCGGGCCTCTGGGGGACCAACTCCACGCCCAGCTACGGGATCTCAGTAAGTTTAAGACCCAGCGTCACGATTGGGGGGCAGGGGACCAGGGGAGCGGAGGGCTGGGCCAAAGATAGAAGCCTTGACCCTCGTTCCTGCTGCCCAGCTTCCAGCTCTTCTGATGAGCTCAGCTGGATCATCGAGCTGCTGGAGAAGGACGGCATGGCCTTCCAGGAGGCCCTGGGGGACCCAGGCTCCTTTGGTGAGAACCCCCGTTTTCTCCCTCCTTCCCAGGCCTGTCCTGTCCTGTCCCATTCCTGGTCTTTCCCAGAGGACTGGCGATGACCTCTCCTCAGACTTCTTCCTCTCCCAACTGAGAAAGATCCAGACCGTCCTAGGTAGCCTTACCGGCTGTTACCTGCCCTAGCCAGTCCCCCTGAGCCTCTCTGAGTTCCGGTCTCCTCTCCCCAGACCAGGGAAGCCCTTTTACCCAGGAACTGCTGGACGATGGCCGCCAGGCCAGCCCCTACTACGGCAGCAGCTACAGCGTGAGCGCCCTCTCCCCTGGCAGTTCCGACATCTCCACGGCAGGTGAGGGGCTGCTCCGGCTCTGGGCCTTCTAACATGGAGGCCCGTCCTAAGAGCCTGGGGCCTTGTGTGAGTGGTGGATGGGCTGGTCCAGATCATTATTCTGACCTATCTCCCCCCCTCCTCCCGCTCCCACCCCAGGGACCACCACTTCCCAGAGCCCCCACTCCTCAGACTCCGGTGGAAGTGACGTGGACTTGGACACCACTGACAGCAAAACCTTCCCCAGAAGTGAGTGGGGAACAGTGGGGAGTCCCAGCCCTTCCTGCCGGCCTGCTGTGCCCTGTGGGGCTTTCTGTAGGGGGTCAGGTCTCCCACTGACCCTCCCCTTCCCGATACCCTCATAGATGGCTTTCCTGACTACAAGAAGGGGGAACCCAAGCACGGGAAGCGGAAACGAGGTCGGCCCCGAAAGCTGAGCAAAGAGTACTGGGAGTGCCTGGAGGGCAAGAAGAGCAAGCACGGTGAGCCTCGACCCCTCTGGGAGGAGCGACTCCTGGGGAACCCTGTATTCCTTGTCCAGTGTCCCCTGTCTTCTCTTCCCCCTTCCTTTTGTCTCTTGCTTCCTTGCTCCCAACACAGTGGGAGGGCTCAGTCATCACCTCGTTGAAGAGGCTGGCTTGGTAGTCCTGGAGAGGAGGGGAAACTGAGGATCCTCGAGGGAGGCCCATGGCACGAGTCCGGGCTTCCTGCTCACCTACTCTAGTTCTCTCTGTACTGGCCACTGCCCTGCCTGTTGGGTTGGAATGTGCCAGTGGTGCGCAGAGGCAGCTGGTGGGTGTTTCTGTGAAAGACCTAGGTAGGCTGAGAGTCCACACCCCAGCCTTCAGGGGGTGGGAAGGGGACCTCAGGCACGGTGTGATCCAGCTGCTCCGAACTCCGGTTTGGATGCCCCTAGGGCTTCCTCGCCTTTCTTCCTCTTATACACACCAGCGTGCACGTATACACTCCCGGCCTGATTTTCTTTGTCCTGGGGGTTTTCTTGTCAGAAAGCTGTTCCCTTGCCCTCGATGCTGGGACCCGTTCTCTGGCCCCATACTTGCCAACTTGTCACCCGTCTGTCAGTGTGCTCTCTCTTTTTTTTTCCTGTGGCCCCCACCCATCTGTGAGTCCCACTGGCCGTGATGTGTCGCAGTCACTGTCCACGCCAGCCAGACATTTGGTCAGTGTCAAAAGTGAGACGGCTGTGCTCTGTAAGATACGTCCGGTCTCCCAGAGAACCTCAGCTAAGGGCAAGGAGCAGGAAAGCGGGCCACAAGGTCATTTCAAGGGCTTCTGTCTAGAAGGACTCATTCCCCAGCGTGCGCTGGGACTGGCCTGAGTGAGGGGGACGCCTTGATTCTAACTGAGCGAATCTGGCCTTGTAGCCCCCAGAGGCACCCACCTGTGGGAGTTCATCCGGGACATCCTTATCCACCCTGAACTCAACGAAGGCCTCATGAAATGGGAGAATCGGCACGAGGGCGTCTTCAAGTTCCTGCGCTCCGAGGCCGTGGCCCAGCTGTGGGGCCAAAAGAAAAAGAACAGCAATATGACCTACGAGAAGCTGAGCCGGGCCATGAGGTGAGCTGGCGACCTGGGCCCTTGTTCAGAGATGGACATGGAAGGAACGGTTGATCTGGCCCAGATCGCTAGTGTTGTTCTGATCACCGCTGGGCATCATGGGATGAGTGTGAGGCTCCTAGGGCTCGGGCCAAGGTTAGCCTACGGGGAGGATCAAGTGTTTAGCCGGGCATGTCGGGAGCACAGCCAGTGTCGGCTCGCAGCAACATTTCGTTGGGTTATCTACAAGACTGGATCTAAGAGAGACACTCGGGAAATGTAGAAAGAGCTTTGGCCGTGCTGACACCATGGCCTGGTTTCTGCTTGCTTGTCTCAGGGCTCCGTTTCCTCCTGTGTGCCACAAATGCAGATTAAGTTCATCTCTAAGGTCCCCTCCAGCTCCCCATTCATGTGTTTTTTATGAAAAACCCCAGGACATGGCCACACACACACACACACCACACACACCACACATACACACACCACAGAACAACCAGGTGCAGAGGCAGGTGTTGTGCCCCACGTTATTAACCAGGGAGACAACAGCAAACAGGTAGAGGAAGGAGAGAATTCTGAACAGTGTGGGTCAGGTTCAGCTTGCTTTGGCAGAAACTAGAGGGGACAGGTCCGCGGAGGCCTTTTCCTGGCAGTGCCCAGCATAATCTCCTTCCAGGATGTTCTGACCGCCTTCTCCCCCACCCAGGTACTACTACAAACGAGAGATCCTGGAGCGAGTGGACGGCCGGAGGCTTGTCTACAAGTTTGGCAAGAACTCCAGTGGCTGGAAGGAAGAGGAGCTGGTGGAGAGTCGGAACTGAGGGTCAGATGTGGACCTGGGACTTGACGCACAGACTTGGACTGCAGGCCTGCAGCCCTGCTGGCCCCTCGTGCGGACAGGCGTGCGCCCTGCCGGGCTGTGGAGAGAAGCTCAAACGTCGGCAGCAGGTGTGCTGAAGGAGAGGCCGCAGCCTCTCTTCCCTGCCCTCGTTGTGGAATTACAAGCCCTGGGGTTTGAAGCCACTTGTGCACTGACTGCGGCTACGAGCCTGGCTCTTTGAAGTCCCAACACTGGCTACGTCTGCAGATGCCTGGACACAGCCAAGGAGGCTGGGGGAGGCCTCAGGAGGGAGCATCGGGACCAGAGGGGACAGGGTGGTGTCCTCCAGCACCACCTTTCTGGACCTTTCATCTCCCTGCTTAGTACTAGGGCTCGCCGGGTGGGGGTCCCCTAATTTATGTGCTATAAATATGTCAGATGTACATAGAGATCTATTTTTTCTAAAGCATTCCCCGCCCCCCTTCTTGTTTCCATGGAGCCCCAGTAATCAGACTGACTGTTCTAGCCCCACTACGGGGCCAGCAGGAGGTAGGGTGAAGCCCGCCCACCAGGATAGGGGTTCTTGGATCCTTTCTCCTGTGAATGGAGAAAGTTTATTGGAAACCTCCAATAAACTACTTTCTGGGCTTTTTCTATCCTTTGTCTCAGCTATCTGTGTACTGATCTGTGGGGCTCTAGGTTGGGTAAGGCATGGTGTTGGGAGGGGACAGGAAGCAGGGGAATGCGCCAAGCTGAGGTGGGTAGGCAGAGGCAGATGGCAGCTGGGTATGGATTGCTGCAGCCGGAGGGTCGGGCTCATGGGCTGGGGGTGGGGGCTGGGCTGGAAGGGGAGATCACTCACACCCCAAGGAACTAGCAGGCTGAGGGCCAGAGCTTGGACCTGCGGTTCTCCAAGTTCAACTTGATGGAATACTAGAATGCTTGCATTCATGTTGGCTGTGTGCTGAATATCTGCAATACACATTCTAGCTTTGGTGTCTGACATAAGATCAGAGTTAAGATCTTGAAGAAGGGGTTGGGGATGTTGGCTTAGTGGTAGAGTGCTTGCCTAGTGTGCATGAAGCTCTGGGTTCCATTCCTCTCTACCACCTACACAGAAAAAATGGAAGGAGCGCTGTGGCTCAAGTGGTAGCGTGCTAGCCTTGAACAAAGAAGCTCAGGGACAGTGCTAAGGCCTTGAGTTCCAGCCCCAGGACTGGCCAAAAAATAAGTCTTGAAGTGGAGATGAGCACTTGATGGGGAAAAAAATGGTGGAAGGATTGATACTTGGCAACAGCCAGGCTCTCTGTTTTACCTCAGTTTGTCCTCCCTAGAAGAGAGAAGTTTCATTCCCACTTTACAGAAGCAGAGTGGTTTGGTAGGTTCTGTCCTTTAATCTATTAGCCTATTCCTGGGAAGGGCTCTAATTTAACCTAACTTAGTTTTTAGATACTCCTGGGATTTGAACTTGGTGCCTTCTGCTTGCTAGGCGGGCACTCTACCACTGAACCACATCCCCAGACCTTGTTTACACTGGTTGTTTTCTAGGTAAGGTCTTGTTCCCTACCTGGGCCTGGCCTCCATCAGCTTATTTTAAGCTTCCAGCAGTAGCTGGGATAACAGCTGTGGGCCACCTGTGTCCAGCTCTTGTTTGAGAAGGACTCTTGTAGACCAGGCTGGCCTCAAACCACAAACCTCCTGAGTTTAGCTTCCTAAGAAGCCTGGATTACAGGCGGCACTGGCTCCTGACTGACCTCACTTAATTTCTGACTGAATTCTCCTTCAGCAGATTCCAGAATCAATTTTCTGTGTTTCTACAGTGATGACATGTCTGGTTCTAAAGAGGACATTTCACTGACAGAGTCGTCTGGAGGGTTACTTGCAAAGAACAACGTTGAAGTTGAAAGTGCTTCAGCTGGGCTGGGAAGGTGGCTGAGTGGTAGAGTGTTTGCTTAGCATGCATGAAGCCCTGGGTTCAATTCCTCAGTATCACATAAAAAGAAAAAGCCAGAACTGGTGCTGTGGCTCAAATGGTAGAGTGCTAGCCTTGAGCAAAAAAGAAGCTTCAGGAACAGTGCCCAGGCCCTGAGTTCAAGCCTCATGACTGACCAAAAAGAAAAAGTGCTTCAGATTTTAGAGAACACATTGAAGATGCATTCTGAGAGAAAAAAAAAATTCTGCATGTTGGAAACAATGTTCTAGTTGTCTTGGAGATAGCAGATTATTCACTGGGAGATACAGAAGCAATCTTAGAAAAACATGGTGGTATGGCTGGTCTTTGGAAATGGGACTGGCTGTGGAGAAACATAGTAGTGGACAGGAAGTGGTTGGCTACTGGAGTTGTGAAAGATCCTAAGTATCTTCCGAAGCCATCTTGGAAAAAGTTATCTTTATATTTTTTTCCCCAACTGAAGTAGAAGCAAGTGAGCCAAGGAAGTAGTGGACAAAGGCAGAGGTATAACCAGGCCGGGCTTTCTGCTGCTCAGGCTCCTTTTCCGGAAGTTTTGGCAAATATGCAGCCTTCTATTGCCCTCACTTCTTGGGAGTGCGTGTATGATATGCACTGTGCTCGTTTCTCTGTACATTATCTCTGGAGTGTACACATTAAGAAAGGTGATGGAGTTGCTTAAGGTCACCTAGCTAAGGAATGGGGATGGGCCTCTGGGTCCTACAATGCTCTTGCTTAATGCTTCCCTTTGTCTTCACATTTTCTTCTGCTTGAAAAGGGAGATCCTGCCAGACACCGGTGGCTCACACCTGTGATCCTAGCTACTCAGGAGGCTGAGATCTGAGGATCGTGGTTTGAAGCCAACCTGGGCAGAAAAGGCCCGGAGAGACTCATCTCCAATGAACCACTAGAAAACCAGAAGTGGCACTGTGGCTCAAAGTGGTAGAGTGCTACCCTTGAGCAAAAGAGTTCAGGGGCAGTGCCCAGGCCCTGGATTAATATCCAAGCAGTGAGTTTCAGCTACAGAGTATTTGTGGGGCAGCTTAGCTGAAGCACAGGGGTGGGGGGCTGGGAATAGCCGGCCCTGCTCACCGACCTTTGCCCTTTAGTGCTCTCGGTTTATGAGGCGCTTTCCTCAGCCCATTATCTCATTGGCTCCACCCTACAGTTCCCAGAAGAGACTGAGTGTCCCCTTGTCATGGAAGAGGCCAGAGGCTGGCCCAAGATCCCTGGCCAGATGAGGATGAGGATGGGGAATGGGCCCCAGCCCCGTGTTCCAGAGGCAGTGCCTGGAGGATGGCAGCCTGGGGTTCACATTGAACCAAGATGGCTTCCTCCTCCACCTGGCTCTCCATCCTTCTGCCCCTCGGGACACCAGTCTTCCCTGCACAGACCTGTAGTTTGGCTTTTCTCAGCACTCTCCCCGACTGCCCTCTCTGCTAGGAGCCAACTTTCTTTATCCCCAATCTCACCAGCCCCAGGGCCTTAATGAACACGCAGAGGTGGGCCCATCCCGGCCTACCTGGCCTGGGTCCCCTTGGGTGTGGTCCTGGGCTGGGCTGTTTATATCCTGCCCTAAGCTTCTGGTCACCTCTTATCTCTTGTGGAATCAGGTGTGTTGCTGGGCCGGTCAGGTCTGAGGGAGGTCACCCACCACTCCCAGGTTTGGGTGTGCCCTGAGCTGGCTGGGCCTAGGCCTAGGGGGCTGGGCTGGCTGCCCTCCATCTCTCCTGGGAGGGTTCCCAGAATCCCACAGCAAAACCAATTCAGGAGAAATCTGTCTTACACAGGCCTCCTGGGAGGCAGGTAAAGAAGCACCCTTTCTGTTAAGGGTCTTCCTTCCATTGGCTCTTTGATTTGGTGGAGATGTTTATGCATGTTGGTCTTTTCCTTATGTAGCACCTCTGGGCAGGTGCTGAACTTACTCATTTCAGCAGCCTGGCACAGAGAAAGGCACTGCATAAATATTTGTCAAACTGCCCTATGACCCTCCCTAACTTGCCAGCTCTTCTGTCCATGCACGTGCATGCACACACACACACACACACACACTCATTCACACACGGGTACACACTCGGGTACATCACTTTCACAATTACATATCACTCTCATAACATACGCACTCGGCGCTTATCACATGCACTCAAATGCACCACACACGATGAGCCAATGCACACTCCAAGAGTCCATACACACTTTCACACGCACACACTCACACACACAGTCTCAAATGAGTAGATTTAGCTCGCTGCCTCCCTACCTTTCAGCATATTGGCATTTTATCGACTCTCAGGCACATTGGATAAGCTACTGTCCTGGGTACAGCTGCCTAAGCCACGGCGCCACCATGATGCAGAATTCTTTTTCTTTTTTCTTTTTTTTTCCAGTCCTGGGGTTTGAATTCAGGGCCTGGGCAATGTCCCTGAACCTCTCTGTGCTCAAGGCTAGCACCCTACCACTTGAGTCACAGTGCTTCTTCCAGCCTTTTCTGTTCATGTGGTACTGAGGAATCGAGCCCAGGGCTTCATGCATACTAGGCAAGCAAGCACTCTACCACTAAGCCACATTCCCAGCCCTGCAGAATTTTCTCCCCATGTATCTCTCCCTGCTGAGAAAGGAGGGTTGACAGAACCATATATATATTTCATATACATATACTTCCTTATCAACTCATATGTTGTCTGGAAGATATTTTCCATAATATCCATAATTTTCCATAATGTCCTACATCACAGCCATGATTTGTAGAACAGAGCTCTCTGGTTCTAGAAAACAACCTTCCTTTTTATAGGAAACTGAGGCCCAGAAAAGGAAGGTGATTTATCATTGAATACCCTGCTAGATGCCAGGCAGGCATTGCTTTGCATACTTCATTCATTCATTCACTCACTCATTCATTCTCTCGGGGATCATTGACTGCTGTGTATCTAGCTCCATGCTGGATATAGGCAACCAGTAGGAAAGAAAGGACCTAGGAAGACTCCAAGGCTGAGACTAGAGGCTAAGAAATTTCAAAGGTATCTCCATAAACCTCCCAAAGGATCTGCAAGGTGGAGACTGAGTCCCCCATTTCACAGATAAGGTTAAGAAGCAGCTCAGGTTTTCCAAGCTAGGGAGTTGAGGAAACTTAAGCTTAAACTCTGAGTTTCTGAGTCTCTCTACTCAACCT